TTGCAGAAAACGGAAATTTGAAGATAATAACAGAAAACAGAGTAGTAAAACCCTAGCTTTCATTGAGATCACCGGAGGAAGTATCGCAATTTCAGACTGCTAAAACTTTCCAAATTGAGTGTATTTTTTACACAGAAAAGTCTTTGCTATTCAGTTCAGCTCCGGCCAAAACATTACCCCTTGCGGTTTCATATCGTTTCACTTAATCTCGTATTAATTGTTCATATTATATTATTAAAAATAGTTACGAATATTTTTAATAAATTATTTATAAAATTAAACATAAAATTGATTAATTTTTTCCACTTTACTTTTATAATTTATTAGAATATTATTATTTAAGAAACGTATAAAAAAAATGAACAATTAATATAAAACGAAAGAAATATTTTTTGAAAAGTTAAACGACCCATCCCTAAAAGTAACTTTTTCATATTTTAATCGTGTCATTTGAAAAGTTAATAGTAAAAAATATTTTAAAAAGTAAAATAATAGTCTTTTTAAAATAAACTAATAAGAAACAGAGCACAAACAAACGGAAGGAATAGAGTAAAAATATGTTATTTAGCCATTTTTGCTTGATTATTCTGCTTAGATTAAACATTGACTGTACAATCTTATAAATCTTCTTATATGTTTTCTCTTACTTTAACTAACTATATTGTCCAAAAATTCTGCTTGGGAATAATACCTATACCCTATACATAAAATTCTAATCAAATATTTGCTGCTATGATTTGAAAACCTCAAGAAATTTCCAACTCTTCAACAGGGATTTTTCCGTGAAATTTTTTCAGCGTCTATAATTGGAAAATAGTCATTAAGTTAAATTTTGGGACCATATAAACGCTCGAAAGTGGCTAGCCCGCCATTATTACTATCTTTCCCACTGTGTCAATTCCTTCATAGTCATTTTAACATCTTTGATCTCTATCAACATGTTGTTTATACAATATCCCAAAGCATGCATAGAAATAATTGACTTTTCTTTTAGTTCCTCTCTTCCTTGGTAACTCAATATTCTATCAATCATTTCTTTTGATCTTTCAAAGAAAAAACTTAACCCTCTTTTCTGTTTTTTTCATTTACTCTCTGATAAAATTGAAAAACAAAAAAAATCCGAAAGAACCAAAAAAACCAACTTTATATGATTTGATTTGGTTTTTAGATTTGTTAAATCGATTTAATTAATTTAAATTTTTTCAAATAAAAAATCAAATCGAACCGACCTATGTACACTCCTAATTGCAATGGAGTACCAAGCCCAAAAGAAATAACTTTGTCATACTTCATTTGGGCTCAAATGTTAAAATTAGGGTTCATGCATGACTATGAGTGGATGTTTTGAGGTTTTAAATAACACATTTTATCTTTCAAATATGTTTAATTTTAATTTTTTGTCATTTGGATAAATTGATCTTCAATTTATCTTTTAATGATCGAATTTATGCCTAATAAGATATGAGCTATTTAGAAACTGAAGTCATACTCGAATATAATTTATGGAATATTATGTATATGAAAATATATACTTATGCATCGCCGATAAAAAAGTTATGAGTGACATAAAATAAAGACCAACACAAAATATGAGTAAAAGTGCAATAACCCTTTTGTGATTCATTCCCTTCTAGGGCAGAAATTGTTTAGACTTATTCCTTTTTTAGTTTTTGTTTTTAATACATAATAGGTACTCATACAATCAATTTCTAGTTTGAAATTGAAACGTAATTATTATTTTCATGGACTCATTTTTCTTTCTTTCACCTTATTAACTAGGATAAAGTCCAAGTAATTTTTAGTCCATTTATGTCTAAATATTGACGTCAACATTCTTCAAGATAACAAAACTTAAATAGATTCATGATATTATTATATGTGTAAAAAAACCATCCTAAATTCTCATCACTAAGAATATTCTCAACATTTCTCTAGATTTTTATGAAGAGCTTTACGCTTATACAAGAGTTTGAGACCACTAATTGATATGTCATATGCAGTTCAAGAATATATATAAGATCACTTAGTCAAGTATAGGAGTGTTTTTAAAATTATTAATAATTTAAAAACAAAACTAATAATTTACACGAGTATAAGGATATTTTTAATAACTTTTTTTATAAAAATAAAAGGACACATACTCATAATACATATGATAAATTAAACAAATTTAGTTTTCTCAATATTCATTGACTGCTATTAAATCCCATGTTGGTGTTTATGGTAGTCCATTACACTTTGAAACATGTTCTTGACACTACTCTTTAAGGATACATTAACTAATTTATTTATAAAATTTGACATGTGTCCTTCTAGTGGTACTTGAATACATATAGTTGTATTTTCGTTTTCTGATAAATAATAAAATGACAAGTGTATAAATTCTTGATAAAATATCGAAGAAAACCTAGTAATTTTAATCAAAATTTTCTAGTAAAATATCATTTAATTAACTCATCGATGGTTGAGCACTACTATGGTCCATGAAAACGACGATCATACAATATTATCGGTTGATATATTTTTAATTTGTCACAAATATATCATTATGTGTTTTTCGATTTTATCCATATTCATTAATGAAAATATCTTATATAGGAGAAAATATAAATAAATTTAACACAAAATATTTTACTTGGTAATTATCAAATACAAAAAATAAATAAGAAACACACCTTTATAATTATTTTAGAAATATTTTCCAGAAAAATTCCGTCTGAGCGGACACTTTCTGTATTTATGAGATTTTTTTGTAAGATATTATATTTATATTACAAAATCATTTCAACACAAATCAACCGTTATTGAGTTATTTATTGTCCAGAACTATAATATTTTTATTTTGTTTTTGTAATTGTTATTAAGAAATTTTAAATATGTGAAAAATAAAATAATCATAAATAAATTTTAAAAAAATAAGGATATTATTGATAAAAATATAAATATAATAATGTTTCTCTCTTGATTTTTATCTCTCTTAAGATTACAGTTCTTATTTCTCTGAAGATTTATCCGTGATTTAAGAATTATAGTGGAGAATTTATCCATGATTTAAGAATCATTGTGGCGTATTTCTCTCTTAAGATTACAAATCTAATCTCTCTGAGGATTTATCCGTTATTTAAGGATCATAGATGTATTTCTTTAAGCAGAATGATATGGACTTCTTTGAGATTTATCCTTTTCTTTTTTCGAATTTTTGAGATGTTTCTCAAAGTAATATAATAGTTCCTTTTAAATAAGTATAAACTAAGGTTTAGGATAAAATAGCTTTCAAAATTCTAAATGGAATCACATACATCAAATAAAGTTCCATAATTTATTTCAGTTTTAGTTATTCACCGGGTGTTGGCAAGCCCTAAGAAAGTCTAGGTTTGCTCCATATTGAAGCCCGATTAAATCGGAATTTGCATCGGAAAATCCCGCGTTGGAAGTTTTATAAATTTCAATGTTACACTAATATTACATTTTCTATCTAGAACATCACTCAAAGTGTTCAACTGACATAATAAAAACGAATTAAGATATCTAGTTATTAGACGTGCATACTCAAAATTAGAATATTTCGTGCCTTCCTTCTATGAACCCTAGGAATTCCATGCCTCAATTAAAATTCATGCATTATTACTACTACTTATCATGTGATACCAAAGTTTGTGGTATACGTTGCTCCACCTTTTCTTTAACATATATCTTTATAAATTTCATCACAAATTTTATTAATACAAAAATGACGCAACTGCCAGTATAGCAATATTCATGTGAATTTCCACATCACAAGAACTATTTTTTTATGACACATTCATAGTAACCTCTTATTGTTACATACAAGCAAAATAAATTAATATCCTAGAAAAAGTAGTAGCAGAAAATAAGAGATAAAGAAAAATTAAAGCCTAAAACTTTGATATTTTGAACCATCATGCACGTTTTTCTTGCTATGTTATATGAGGAAAAAAGAACCAAAAAGTAAATCACCGTGAAGGACTAAGGTAGACGCTTACGTACAGTTCGATCAAATTCAATAACTTAATACATTTAAATAATAAATTTAAAGATTCAGTAGTTATTATCACTTGAAGTCGTCATTTGAAATTTTCAAAGACTATTAAATTAGTTTAATTTATTGAATAATGTCAATATTTTGTTCATGACATGACTATGGGGATGTTCAGATCACGTATGATCAAGATATACTTATTACGTAAGTTTTGTTAAGAAATAAAATTACGTTCCTATTATCTAACCATTTTTCTAATAACTATACGTCAGTATATATTTTCAGACAAAAGCTTTCATCAGTATTTACAACTTTTTTTGATTTGATCTTTAAAAACCGTACACACACAAAGCTGCTTTCTTCCGTAAGATAATTAAGCCGTTGCTTGAAGTGACGTTTGTTAAATTTCATTATTGTTTTTTTTTTCTTTCAATTTACATTTTTTTTTTCGTAATTGCAAAACATGTTATAGTGCTTATTAATTATTTTATTTTAATTTATGTATTTTTACTTTCTTTATTAAATAGAATAACGCATTTTATATGTTTTAGTAATAAGTTTTCAAGCTTATTATTTTTGTTGTTTCTTTTTATTATCATACACTCTCGTAGAAATAGAATGTCATTATCTATTTAAAATCGTTAATTTAAAAGATATTATTGATATATTGTGCATGTTTTAAGTTTAAGATCATAAATTTTTAAGTTATTTTACAATTTTTAATCTGGTCACCATTAGTTATTAACAAAAAAAATTATTAATAACTTAATTTTCATTTTACCTTTAATAAGACAATGACATAATATTTTTTGTTAAAAAATTCTCCTTTTTGACAAATTGTACATATTTAGCTTAGTTTAAAAGTTGACTAATTTTCTTTTTTAAAATAAAAAGTCATATTTAAAGAGTATAAATTAATTAACACACAAAAAAAGCGTTAAAACCACCTTCTACCATTCTGAATCGGCAAACATCCCTCCCTTTGCGAAAATCTTTCATAGACCCATAATTCTCTCTTTTGATTCTGTATTTTGTAATATGTCAATCGATAAACATTTTTTTTTTAGCAAAAATCTTTGAATAGACCCATAATTCTCTCTTTGATTCTGTATTTTGTGATATGTCAATCTGCAAACATTACCCATAATTCTCTGTTTTGATTCTGTATTGGGTAATATGTCAACCGGTGGCACCGCCACCAATTCTGCCAGCGGTAGTCCCAGAGTGGCCGGAACCGGACTCACTATCCACCACCGACGTCCTGTTATGGAGAATGACCCTGAAAAATTATCAGATCATATACAAATCGGATTTGACAATTACTATGGTGATAATAATAACAATAATGCAAATATTATTAACGCGGGTAGCGGAAACCTTCCTTATTACCACCATCATCATCATTCTCGTACAATAGTACGATATTTATTAGCGTGTAAATGGGTGCCGGAAAGTTTGATTTTTAGAGTAGAAGAATGTTTATTGAGTTTTTGTTCAATTATGGCGTGTTTAGGATCAAGATATAATATGGGTCGTACTATTTTGGGGATATTGTTGGTTTTGGTGATGATTTCTGTGTTCTTTAAGTTTTCAATCGTTATGAATGGTGATGTAAATGGGAATTTGATGAGTAAAGATCATGGGCTTTTTGTTGTTCAGAATTTTAAAAATGATTGGGTTAATGCTCAAAAAGTTGTTTCTGAAACACAGTCCTCTGTTTCTGTTTCCTCTTCTGGTGGAGTTGCGCGGAAACGCCAGATGGAGGAGTTGCCGGTAAGTTCTGAGTAAAAACTCCGCTATGCAACAAAGTTTAAGGGTTGTATGTAGTCAATGACTTTCTCCGGCTCGAAATTGTTTGGACAGGTACCAGAAATATGGATGAAGCCACCTAGTGATACTTACTACAAATGCATTGCTCCGCCTAGAGATCGAATAAGTATGTCTGAGTTTTGTTTTTTTTTAGATTTTGATTTCTTAATGTTCATTTCCTTCATTTGAACCAGTTTTACCTACATAGTTTGGCTATAGTTATGTTATATGATTATTTTAGGAACTGGATCATCGACTAATGGATATGTCTTGGTTCATGCTAACGGAGGATTAAACCAGATGAGAACAGGGGTAAATGAAGCTTCAAGTTGTCTATTCTATATATTTTCAGCTGTTGGTGATGCTGTTATTTATGACAATCATTGTTTTGGGTTACCGTAGATATGTGATATGGTGGCTATTGCAAAAATTTTGAATGCCACTTTGGTTCTTCCTTCTCTTGATCATGAATCGTTTTGGACAGATCCCAGGTACAATTCTTTAGTTTTCCACTGTGTTTCTTCTTGATTCTGTTAGTTCTAGTTCTGATCTGTTTTTCGTCTCTTGTAGTGATTTTAAAGATATTTTTGACTGGAGACGCTTCATTGATGTTTTAAAGGATGATATTAAGATTGTTGAATCGTTGCCACCAAAATATGCAGCTGTGACCCCTATTCAGAAGGCACCGGTCTCTTGGTCTAAGGTCGGTTTAATTGAACTACTCTTAGCAAGCGATGATCTTTTGCATGCTGGAACTATAGTTTGTGTTGCTTTTCTGCAGGCTAGTTACTATAGAGGAGAGGTTCTTCCTTTACTTAAGAAGCACAAGGTGATACAATTTACGCATACAGATTCAAGGCTTGCTAACAATGGCTTGGCATCCTCTATTCAGAGGCTTCGATGTAGAGCAAATTATGAGGCTCTACGGTACACAAATGAGATTGAGGAGCTTGGAAAGAAGTTGGTGGATAGACTTAGAGACAATGGTGAACCCTACATTGCTCTTCACTTGAGGTGATCTCTCTAACATGGTATCTGTTGGCCAATTTCTCAACCGTTCATTTTTAAGAACGTACTTAGCATGTTTGCAGGTATGAAAAAGATATGTTAGCCTTTACCGGCTGCAGCAACAATTTAACTGCTCAAGAGGCTGAAGAACTTCGTTATATGAGGTATCAAGTGAAGCACTGGAAAGAGAAAGAGATAGATGGCAATGAGAAACGACTACAAGGGGGCTGCCCTATGTCGCCTAGAGAGGCTGCCTTGTTTCTTAAAGCAATGGGCTATCCCTCCACGACCAGGATATATATTGTCGCTGGGGAAATTTATGGCAACAACAGCATGGATGCATTTCGTAATGAGTATCCTAATGTTTTCTCTCACTCAACTCTTACAACAATGGAAGAACTAGGGACTTTCAGGCATTACCAAAACCGTCTTGCTGCCTTAGATTATCTCGTAGCCCTTGAAAGTGATGTCTTTGTTTACACATATGACGGGAATATGGCAAAGGCCGTGCAAGGGCATAGAAGGTTTGAAGGATTTCAAAAGACCATAAGCCCCGACAGGTTATTACTATTATCTTTAGATTTTTGTACTCGCTTTGTCAATCACTCAATCAAACTAATGATGATATTTGGTACTTCTGTTCATTTCAGACTGAATGTTGTAAGATTGATTGATTTGTTGGATAAGGGTACGATCACTCGAGAAGAGTTTACCTCCGAGGTCAAGACGTTACATTCCAACAGATTAGGAGCTCCTTACTCTAGAGAAGCAGGAGAATCACCAAGATTAGAAGAGAACTTCTATGCAAATCCTTTCCCAGGTTGTATATGTGATAGATCTTTGATGGAAGTGAGAAAGCAGCAAATTATTTGAAGGCTGCTGCACAAAGATAAAGATTTAGATTAGATAAATGTCAGTATTTGATCTATGATATTAGTCAGCAAGCAGAATCAAAGAGGACTTACGCCATATGAACAAAGCTTAAAGAAGCAGAGATAATGAGAAAAACAGAAGAGGCAGCAGATACAACACAAGGTACTCAAATCATTCTTTTTACTGTGCAGTATACAACATTTATTCATTTTCTTATTTATTCTGAGTTGGTTTTGGTAATTGGTTTATTCATTAGGTTTTCCACAGATTCACAATGTAACATATACCACAAACGTTATTATACTAGTCTTTATACATGGTTGCAAATTTCTTCATCTTCATTATCGCGATTTCTATGATTAGAACTTAATTTTGTGACTTAATCAAAGAAACAAGAACTCGATACAAAAACACGCGAAATATATAAAAATTCACAAGCTCTAGAGCTAAACAACACTGTTTTTTTTCTTAACATACACTAGTTTGAGCTTCACTCAACTGGAATCATAACTTCATTGGTCTTAAATGGAGGCAATGTCCATGGGGGATTATACCTAGCCAACTCAAATTCCCCAATTATCTTAAACCCATCTCGCTCTAACCATTTCTTCAAATTCTCCACTTTCTCTTTCACCATTTTATCATTTGCGGTTCCACTAAACTTCACCACCCCATACTTCCTTTCCCCTTCTTCTACAATCACCACTCTCTCATCCAACGGTTTCGGTGCTTCTTCAGCTTTCGTATACTTCGCCGGCAGAATAAACTGCATAGTCACTGTATTCTTCTCGCCGTCACCGGTCTTAGTTACCACGGGTGCAGTCATCGCGATTTGCTCAGACGATTTGGTGATTACTGGGGCTGTCATGGCGATTGTTTCAGGTTTGGAGTTTTGTGGATTACCTAATGCGCCGATGTAATTGGCTAGTAGCATGAATCCGCCGTCTTTGTTGCCTTTAAACTGGGTTGGATCGTATGTGACTTGTGCTATAACAGCTGCTGGGTATTTTCGGATCTCGTAATCAGTTGTAGATTGTATCAATTCGTATTTGGGTGTTTCAACAGAGATTTTCCCCAAAATCATGCCCATTTTTAGAGAATTTTCTGGATGAGATGTTGGCTGTAAATTGCTTGTAGTTAAATGGATGGAAACGAAGCTTCTGGTCCCAAATCGACTTGAGAAAGGGGTTTTGTTTGCTACAAAACAAATGGCGGTAGATGAGGGCAAGGATGTGGAGTTTGTTTTGCCACGTTTCATATCGCGATATGAGATAAGATGAATTCAGCGTTTAAATCTTTGATATATAATTAATTATTAATAATATGACATAAAATTGATGAGAGATAGCAAATATTTTCGATAATTTCTTTTCGAGTTGTCTAATAGAATTATAGCGAAAGAAAATAAATCTTATGTGGAATGATTGAAATCTACGCTAGCTGAAACAGAGCAGCATTATGCCATTACTAAAAATAGGAAGCAAATCATTTTCGGTAGGTTAATATACATGCGGTCAATTTTCTTACTACTCTTGTTTTTACTATTATATATTTCTATATCTCGCTAATATCAAAATGCATGAGGTTAAAATTAGATGTGCTTTATTCTTGATATGCTACATTCAAACGTATCTTGCTCGTCTCATTCGTTACTTTCCTATGTATTGAAAATCTAGATATATCGCGAACCACAACAGATATAAACATATGTATCGAATGAGATTCACATATATCTAAATTAAATAACAAAATCTTGCTCGCCTCTCTTCCTATTTAATATATATGATAGTAGAGTATGTCAAGTTATTATAAACTTCGAATTTAATAAATCAAATAAGCTACGTAGAATTTGAAACTCTTAACAAAAGCAAAACAAGAACTACATGATAAATTCGATTATAACACACTATAAAGCAGGCCATGAAATAGTATACGCTACCAACTTTAAAATAACGTCTGATATACAAAGTATACAGCCCATATACTAGTTTCAGCTCATCACTCAACTGGAATCCTAACTTCATTGGTCTTAAATGGAGGTAATATCCATGTCGGATTATACCTAGCCAACTCAAATTCCCCAATTATGTTACACCCATCTCTCTCCAACAATTTCTTCAAATTCTCTACTTTCTCTATCACAATTTTCTCACTTGCAGTCCCACCAAACTTCATCACCCCATACTTCCTCTCCCCTTCTTCTACAATCACCACTCTCTCATCCAATGGCTTTGGTGCCTCTTCACATTTCGTATACGTCGCTGGCAAAATGAATTGCATAGTCACCGTATTCTTCTCTCTGTCATCGCTTTTAGTCACCACCGGTGTTGTCATGGCGATTTTCTCACCCGATTTGGTGATTACAGGGGTTGTCATGGCAATTTTTTCAGGATTAGAGTTTTGGGGATTACCGAATATCCCAATGTAATTGGTAAGTAGTTTGAATCCACCGTCTTTGTCGCCTTTGAACTGGATCGGATCGTAGGTGACTTGTGCCATAACAGCTGCTGGGTATTTGCGGATTTCGTAATCAGCTGTAGATTGAATTGTTTTGTATTTGGGTGTTTCAACACAGATCTTCCCAAAAACAATGCCCATTTTTGAGAAATTTCTGAATTTCTTTTGGAAATGTAATTTGAGATTGTTGATAGTAAAGTTAGTCTGAATTGCTATAATTATATAGAAGAACAGGAAGTTTCCATAGAAGTTAGAACAGCCGGCAAAAAGGACTGAGAATTTTGATTGCTGCAAAATGAATGGTGGTTGATGAGCGGGAAAGAAGGAATAAGCTGTGTGGAGTTAATTTTGCCACGATTATTTGTTTGGTTGCAATGTACTCCGAGAGTGTTATGAGGTCTTAGGTTTAATTTCTTTTTATATGTTTTAATCTTAATTATTGGGTGATACGATATTTTATGTAAATAATTCAGGTATCTAAAAGCTAGTGTGGATATTGTTATAGAAAATGATTATTTATTTAATTTTGATTTTAATTTGATACAGAATTAACAAAAGCAAAAATATATTTGAATGTCTTAAAATAAAAAAAATGTAGAATGTACTGAAACATTATTTCATTGTGGTCTTTTAACTCTTAAATATATAATGTAGAAAGTTGAAAAAATATTTTTCCCGTCCATAGTTGTTAAATTAGTATAAAATCAATTGATATCTTGTTGGTTTCGATTGGGGTTTAGTTAATTAAAGATTGGCAACCAATAAGTGAAAGTTAAGTACAAATATTCAATTAAGTCATTTGTATATATTCTAAAAGTAAAATTTTTAAGAAAAGCTTGTCTATTTTAATTATCTGACATTATTTTTATATTAGTTTGTCTAAAGAAAAATGATATTTATTTATGAATAAATATAACTTTTGATACTTCCTATTTAAGACGTGGAATGATAATAGGAATAGCTCCTAGGAAAAATTAAGGAGCTATGACATATTTCTAATTATAAGTTTTAAAAATAATTTATCAAATTTGTCTTATGAATTAAAAGAAAGAAATTATCATAAATCAAATTAGATGAATTCAAATATTTAAAAATATTTGTATAACTAATAAAGATAAACCGATAAAGTTATTTGACTGTTCTCAATATCGATGCATAGAAATGTCTTAACTCTTATGGAACTAGGCTTTGATGAATAATATGTTTTTTTTTACTATTCAATGAGAACTCAAATTAAGATTTGTTCATTTTTGAGCTTGTATTTGAATTTTTGAAATTTCAATTTTTATTTTTTTGATGCCAAACTCCACTTTATTGATGTTTGAGAAACTATACACTCTACGTATAATAATTCTTAGGAAAAATCTAACTTCGCAAGAAGATTCTTTTTGAATAAAATAAAAAGCTGAAATTTTCAAAAATTAGAAAGAGCCTTCAATGATGGATTATACATTTAAAAATTTATCTCTAAAAAATTGACCAATTTTTAATAGGAATTTCACTTTCACATATAATAATTTAATTTTTTTCAAATACATGTTCGAATGCAACTTGTCAAATCTCATAAATCACAATTCAAGTACTTAAATTTTATATTTCAACTTCAAAATTTATGAATGAACTAAACGTTGAACTCTCTGTACAAGTCCATTATTGGAAGTGAAAGACTTATTTGTAGTTTCTCCGATATATTCACTGTAGATAGAGTGGGTAGCAAACGAAAAGCATCATCATAACAGGATTGTTTTTGCAAAAGATTGGATAAAACTCGCTAAAAAATGGTTGATTCATATAGATCCTTAAATCCTAAGACAAGATTAATCTTAAATGAAAGCATAAGTTTACCAAAATTGTGAAATAAACACTAGACACACTTTACACTTTGTTTGGATCATTGTTATCCATTATTTCATAATGTGTATTGTACTCTATAGTACTGTATTGTATGGTAGATACAATGTTTGACTAGACTGTATTGTTTGTTATTGTTTAATAACATTTAATTGTTTTAGTTTGATCCTATCGTACTGTATTGTAATTTATAAATTTACTTAAAAATCCTTATTTATTCTAGGATAGGAGGTTTGACTAGATTTAAAGAATTAAGATAAAGGGTAAAATAGTATTTTGAAATATTATGTAAATATATAATTGAAAAAAGAAATTAAGTAACAATGGAAACACATCAAATTGGTTGTTCCATTAAAAAGGGTTTTTTATTGTTACGTAACAACGAAATTTAACGATACAAATTCATACATTTTAAGTAACAATTAAAACAAACATTGTAGGTATGATAACGATTACAATAAATACAATAGGTAACAATGATTCAAACATAGTGTTAGTAGGATAACAAGATAGTTTGAAGTTAATTCAAGCACACGAGACTTGACGCGACCCACACTTAACAGTACAAGCAAAGAACTCTCCAAACATTAGTATGTACAAGCAAAATTTCAAAATTAAGAGTATCGTATCGTAGTTTAGTAAAATAAAAGGACCTCCATTGTCAAATATAAAACCTAAAAGGACTTTTGAGTAAGAATTCTTGTGTTATCCAGCTGTACCGCACAATTTTTCAAATTTCAAATTCATTTCCACAGGGTCCAAGAGGTCAAATTAAATCTAACCGTTGATTTAGTAACCGTTACCGGAGCCCCGGCTCCGCCACCCACTTATCTCTCAAAACCCTAAATTAATTTAAATTTCATTATAAATACAACTCCCCCTTTCTCCGTCCCTACACACAAAATTCTCTTTCATTTCTCTCTGATTCTAAGAAAATTTCTCCCAAATTTCAACAAAATGCGTGAGATTCTTCATATTCAAGGTGGACAATGCGGCAACCAAATCGGTGCCAAGTTTTGGGAGGTTGTTTGTGCTGAGCACGGCATTGATTCCACCGGAAGATATGACGGGGATGCTGATCTTCAGCTTGAGAGAATCAATGTCTATTATAATGAAGCTTCTTGTGGTAGGTTTGTTCCGAGGGCGGTTCTTATGGATCTGGAGCCTGGTACCATGGATAGTATTAGATCTGGTCCTTATGGACAGATCTTCCGTCCTGATAACTTTGTGTTTGGACAATCTGGTGCGGGTAATAATTGGGCGAAAGGGCATTATACTGAAGGCGCTGAATTGATTGATGCTGTTCTTGATGTTGTTCGTAAGGAAGCTGAAAACTGTGATTGCCTTCAAGGTTTGTTGTTCTTTTCTGTTTTGCGTTTGTTGTTATAGATCTGGGTTTTTTATGGGTTATGTATAATGTGATTTTCGTTTTTTGGGTTTTTTAGGGTTTCAAGTTTGCCATTCATTGGGTGGAGGAACAGGATCTGGTATGGGTACCCTTTTGATTTCTAAGATCAGAGAGGAGTACCCAGACAGAATGATGCTTACGTTTTCGGTTTTCCCTTCACCTAAGGTTTCCGATACCGTCGTTGAACCTTACAATGCTACTCTGTCTGTTCATCAATTGGTTGAAAATGCTGATGAATGTATGGTTCTTGACAATGAGGCTTTATATGATATTTGCTTCAGAACCTTGAAGCTTACCACCCCAAGCTGTAAGAACCTTTATGCGTTTTGATTTGCTTTATAGATGTTGTTTATTACTGTTGTAGGTGTTTATGTTTTTTCGTAATTGTTTGATGGAACAGTTGGAGATTTGAATCATTTGATATCAGCAACAATGTCTGGTGTTACCTGTTGTTTGCGTTTCCCTGGTCAGTTGAACTCTGATCTCCGTAAGCTGGCTGTGAATCTGATTCCATTCCCAAGGCTCCATTTCTTTATGGTTGGGTTTGCACCTTTGACTTCCCGTGGTTCACAGCAATACAGAGCTTTGACTGTCCCCGAGCTTACCCAGCAAATGTGGGATGCCAAGAACATGATGTGTGCAGCTGACCCTCGCCACGGCAGATACTTGACTGCCTCAGCTATGTTCAGGGGCAAAATGAGCACGAAAGAGGTCGATGAGCAAATGCTCAACGTGCAGAACAAGAACTCATCCTACTTTGTTGAGTGGATCCCTAACAATGTGAAATCAACTGTTTGTGATATCCCACCTACCGGACTTAAGATGGCATCGACCTTCATTGGTAACTCAACATCAATTCAGGAGATGTTTAGGCGCGTGAGCGAACAGTTCACTGCTATGTTCAGGAGAAAGGCTTTCTTGCATTGGTACACTGGTGAAGGAATGGACGAGATGGAGTTTACCGAGGCTGAAAGCAACATGAACGATCTTGTGTCGGAGTATCAGCAGTACCAAGATGCCACTGCTGATGAAGAGGGGGAGTACTATGAGGATGAAGATGAAGCTCAAGAGGAGTAAATTGAAATGTAATTTGTACTTTTGTTATGGATGATGCCAAACCACAACTTCCAGTTGATGTTCTTTTTGGCTATGAGATGTAATAGTTCAAAACTTTGAAGCTTTAATTATCTTGTATTAGTTCAATTTGCTATGGAAGACTATTTTCAATGTTGTGATATTTTGTGGCTTTTCTGTTTTTGGTTAATTCTGTGTAGCTATTATGCTCTGTTTGTGCCTTTGTGATCTTGTCTGCTGTTACTGTGTTCGTTTCATCGTTTAACCCAAGGCTAGATAGACGATGATACTGCAGTTACATGCCTTGATGGAAATAGTAGGTACATATGAAATAATCGAGGTGTGTGCAATAGTGAATAGTAGGTACATATGAAATAATCGAGGTGTTTGCAAAATGCCTTGATGGAAATAGTAGGTACATATGAAATAATCGAGGTGTTTGCAAAATGCCTAGTTGGAAATAGTAGGTACATATGAAATAATCGAGGTGTGTGGAAGCTAGTGTATGTTTTCGTACTTCGTGGAAATTGTCCTTTCATGTATGGTTAATCTTTGCAATTTCAAATGACATCTTCAGGGCTGGAAACTATTGTTTAGGGCTTCTAAATATAACTTGTATCTTTTTCACACAGTAATGCCCCCAATACCATGAAATAACTCAGGCCCATAATTTCCAGTTTAAATGTTCCTTTTTGAAGCTATACTATATGATTGGGCCTAACACAGCATTATCATCATTTATTCAACTGTATTTATCATGAGTTGGGCTGGGTCATTCTTACTAATGGACCACTTTCTTCATCGTATTCTACGAGATATAAAAGACATTTCAAAGTAATTATCTCCGCTTCACCCTCCAAACCACTATCGCTTGGCTTATCCCTCCTCTTCTTAGCTTCTTCGTATCTTATGTTACACTTGAACGTTGTTTTTTTACTTATCAAATACCATAAAATAAAAGACATTTTTCCAAACCTTAATAACAAAGTGAATTAATTAGAAAGTTGGCAAAATGTGGCATGGGTTGGTCTAAAGGGTCATAACAAACCAAATAGAAGCTTCTACACGTAGGCCAAAATGTGGAATTCTAAAACAGAAAATTGCAAGTTTCATACCGTCAACTACACGGTACGTCCACTATTTGACAATCAATTAATTGTGCTGCGTATTGTTAATGGAACGTTATTTCCAAGTAAAGACTTTGATTCCTCTCTTCCGTGAAAACTTGTATATATTTACCCTATTTTTTATATATTCGTAAGTGAGATAAATAAATCGTAGCTTTCATAACAAATAAAATTATAGCTACGAAACGCAATTATAAAAAAAAAAATTAATTAATAGAGTTTTATTATGTCTACTATATTTGCTATTTATGAAATTTTTTCATTTTATAAATAAATAATTGTGTGTTTAGATAAAATGGTAAAATAATACTGTCCATAAGCATTTGTCATGTTCAAATGATTGGAATATCTTTAAAAGACATGTATTAATACTAAAACGAGGAGAAAATATTGTAGTTCTATAATCCTAAATTTGAGTTACGATTTTTACCCGATTTCAAATTATTAAACACTTTTGATATTACCTAACAACATAGATCGACTAAAACTGCTTATAAACTAATTTGACCGACTTATAAATTTAACCAAATATTTCTCTAAATTATTTAATACACAAGTTTTAGTTAATAAGCCAATAGGCAAGGGCAGAGCCACCTTGGTACAAGGTGGTTCATTCGAATCCCCCTTTGATGGAAAATCATATATTTATATATGGTTAAAATAATATTTTATTTATATATTAGATGTTAAATTTCCTTCGATTACTTTATATGTCTATTTCTATAAATTATGAATTCGTTATTGAAAATTCTGACTCTGACACTGCTAATAGGTGAAATCTTAAAGTAATGCGCAAATAACAAACTGAAATTGATTTTCGTAGAAATATCTAGAGTTTGAAACTTCAACAAGCAGACGTGTTTTGAAGTCTCCAATCACAAAGGCACGACTAATATTACTACAAATAATAAGAGAATCAAATAAATACATTTCTTTTTTATAATTGGCAAAGAAAAAAAGAGAGAAAAATAATTAAATAATTAGTTTAGCAAACGCGTGGGCTCCACTATGTTTACACAAGGACCTTGACTCTTTGAGCCACCTCCCATGACAATCCCTTCCTATTTCATTATCGTAGAGCTCACGATGATAAAGTCAGAATTTTTTTAAAAGAAAAAATTTAAATTATATTAATATATTAGATTAAAATATTATCGTATGTCAAGTAAATTAAATTTTTGATTTTTACATAATTTGAAGAAAAACTAAATTAAATCGAATATCTTTTCATCCACTTAGCTCCGCCTTTAAATTTGAATTTTCAAAATTCATAAACAAAAACATATACACCCACCACTCACCCAAAAATTAAAAAATAAAAAATTAAAAAAAGAAACGACCAAACTTAAAAAGTAAACGTGTGACCTCATGTCATCTTTGGTTTCTCATTGTCATATTTTCCCTATATATATACAACTCAAAGAAACCCCTCTCATATTACAAAACACAATTACTAATAAAACTTCATTTCTCAATTACAACATAAATCCTTACAAAAATACATTCTTAATAACCAAAAGAAGAAAAATGGCTTTATCCATGAAGCACTCTTCCATTATTCTTTTCTTTGCTTCCACCCTTTTCCTCCAAGTCGCATTAGGTATGTTTACATGAAATCTTTTTTTATCGTAATTTTAATCATATATATATCATGCTCGTTATTAATATAAATTAACATAACGGGGAATTTCCATGCACAAAGCTCCAAACATTCGTCTATATTACGTAGCGTTGGAAAAAACTATTTCCAAGGTTTTAACTCATAACCTAATCACAAAACAACAACTCTTAATGAATAGAATCATAAGTTAGTTAGTGAAATGAATCGAGTTAGATGAGTTAAATAACGGGTCATAAAACTTTTTGTTTTTCTTTATTACGATTAGAATATTAACATATCACAAAATCATGTAACAGGGGAAATCACATGTGAAAACTTGCCAACAAATGTTTGTTCATTTTCAATCTCATCATCTGGAAAGAGATGTTTATTGGAGAATTCAGCAACCGAAGATGGAAAATTGGAATATCAATGCAAGACCTCAGAAGTTGTTGTTGCAAACATTGCAGAGTATGTTGAAACAGATGAATGTATTAACTCATGCGGTGTAGACAGAAATTCTGTTGGCATTTCTTCCGATTCTTTACTTGAACCACAATTCACTGCAAAACTCTGTTCTCCTTCATGTTATCGCAATTGCCCTAACGTTGTTGATCTCTACTTCAATTTAGCTGCTGGAGAAGGTAAACAATACGATTTGTTTATTTAAATATACATATACATGCTCGATTCACACATAGTATTTTCGTTCTGTTTATCATGAATCTCAACTGTTTTCAATTGAAATTTTCAGGAGTATATTTGCCAGATTTGTGCAGCAAACAGAGGAGCAGCCCACACCGCGCAATGATTGAGTTATTGAGCAGTGGAGCTGCTGCTGCTACTGATGCTTCTGCTCCGATTTCTTCTGAAGATATTATTGTTGGTGCTCCTGATATTTCCCCTGCTTCTTTCTAATTTAATATCATTCTAAAAGTTCATTTTTTTATGGGAATTTGTTCATGAAAAGAGAGAGGAGATATTGTTACTTATATTTATTAAGATTGTAGTATAGTAAGAAATGGGATTTTTTGATCTCTTTGTTGATTCATTTTTACATACGAAATTGTTGTTGTGAGAGAATCTGTTTTACCAGTTTTTCTTCTGCTGAGACTTCAATAAAATGTTTTTTCTTTTTTTGCACGTCTCTTATTTTTCATTTTAGTTATATATGTATCTCATTTATACGGGGGCAAATTAGATGTAATTTATTTTATTTGCATGTATTTGGATATACTAATTCTCTCTCTTCCTATGTATCTATATATTAGAATGTATTTAATATCAAAGAAACATGTATCTAGCGTGAAATCTAAAAGAACGGTGTTTACTTTGAAATTTGATACAAAAAATTTATAAACATGACCCTTAACTTGACTTCATCAGATAATTGTGCCCTCCAACTTTGAGTATGTATAAAATTGAATAAGTAGATACATGTGTCCTACGTAATACACGTAGGGACAAAATTTCCATGCAAGGTGTCATGTAGGACGGATGTGTCTAAAGGTCATAATTGTCGGTTGACACCAAATTAAGAGTCGTGTTTATATATTATGTCAATTATTAATTAGCAAGTCAATACATAGTTTTTTCAACCTATTGAATGTATAAGTATTTATGGTAGAAATGATTGTCTAATTAGGATTTTCCTCTGATTTACATCTTAAAATAAGGCCTGCATCTTTCTTTTGTTGCCCCATCATGTTATAGGTTGCTTGATTTGTTAGAGATTCGGTTTATGATATACTTTTGTTTGATTATTATTGTTTTCATCACACTAAACTATGCTGTAGTACTTCTCTTCACATGGGATGCTAAAAATTATAGTATATTATTATATCAAAAGAGACAAGGTACTTGGTGTTCGAGTTGTGGGATAATGTGTTTCTAAATGAATCTTAATGACTCATGATCCTCAAAACAAGCAAATTCTTGATTTTGGAGTTCACGGAGAGAGTAAGATATACACAGATCTTATCACTATCTCAACGTCGTATAATTTGTTAGCACTTGGTAGAACAAAATATTTTTCTTTAAAAAAAGCACCTTCTGACTATGTTAAAACTGCAAAACCAAACAAGTTGAGATTCCATTTCTATTAAACAAATCAAGAACAAAAGGGGCAATCTATAATTCTCCAATGCCTTGACAGAATGTGAGCACAAAATCAAAAGTAATTTAGTTTAGAAATAAACTATTGACATAGTAACAACTTTATATCATCACAAGAAACTTGAAAAATCAAGAAATGTAAGTCTACACACTAGTATTTTAATTTTTGCTCCTTTTGCCTTCCAACTTTGTGGCTTCTTTTAGTGCTTCTTGAGCATCATTCTCCATCCCAAGGGTAAAAAGGGCAACAGACTGGAGATAAAAGGCGGTAGGCCACTCAGAGGATATAACCTGAGCTTGCATTGCATCTCCTAAAGCTTCTTGTGCCATGTCGCTCATCAGATAACACAAGCAGCGCCTCGCGTATATGGTGGGTGACACCATGGTCCCTCCATCATTGAACTGATATAATAATGATAGTATATATGTAAGCCTGTGTTAAAGGTAGACGTGAATCATTAAGACGATGAAAAATTTTAGATGGTCAAACCTGTGTGTAGCATTCAATGGCTGTTATGAAATCCTTGGCTCGGAAAGCAGCATCTCCTTGTTGCTTAGAGTTCAAGGTTTCCTGCATCTGATTTGTCCACATTTGGAAAGAAAGCTGCAAACATATCAATGTTTAACTTAGGTAGAATCCCCAGATAACGAAAGGAGTATTACACGAAGTATCTCTCATACACAGTAAGAAAGAAGAGCAACACATCACTCAATTCTTATGCTAAAACTAGCATAATAATTAGTTCATTTTCACCCTATTTAAACAAATTATACTTCATCATCATCATATCACTCTATTATTAACCGATGACTGCTGTACTATGAAAAAGTCATAATATAACATTAGCATATCTTACTAACTTACTTCTAATTATTCCAGTAGTTACTCTCATAACAGTTAACACAAAACATCTTACAATGCTTACATACCGACGAGAATAATACAAGGACATGATAGTGATAACATAGAAGGTCCCTCTGGAAATGATATTTGATGGAGATAATGCATAAAACCTCTTTAAAACGGAAAACCTTATATGGGAATTATTAGAGTATAAACATGACAACAAACTTGAATAACTATTTTTTTCCTTTCTGGTCGTGGGGTTGAAAGTCTAACTGAAACAGTCTCTATTTCTACAAGGTAGGGGTAAGGTTGCATACACTCTACCCTCCCCAGACTCCACTTGTGGAATTACGCTGGGTATGTGGTTGTTGGGGAGGTGGCAGGATATTAATGTATAAACAAAGCTGATGCCAAGGGAATGAAAATGTGGAAAAGCAAGCTGCAGAAAATGAAATAAGTCGATGGTAACAAAGATACCAGTAGAAGAAACATGTCGAGAAAATGGATGTCATTCATATAAAGTGCTCAATGGGAGAGGGAATAAGATTAAGTGTGTGAGATCACGTAAAGAATTCTTTAGCAACAAAGCAGCTTCCGTAGTCTTACTTTTCAAGAAACAAGAGGAACAATGTACATTTGGAAAATTATTCATTATCAATAAATAGTAAAGGGACAAACCTCATTGGCAATTCCTTCATCATCCTTGTACCCCGTCTTTTGCAATATCTCATGAAGGGCAGTCAGATCTCTTCTCAGACATGCTTCACCCATTGTTGTCAACACCAATGGTTGGGGTGGGGTTGCAGCTCCATGTCTAATTCCCAGCAAAACATGTGATGGTACCTGGAATTACATCATTAGGAAGTATGATCATCAAGCATTATTGATGCAATAATTATTATTTTGTTTGATATGGTAACTTCACCCCACCCCACCTCGCGCACACAATATTTTAATGAGGCCAAGTGACTTTTCTACTTTTTGCCCCTGTGTGACTAGAAACACCATTTTCATGCTTGGAGGTGGGAGATTTCTTTCCACTAAGCCATCACTCTCTTATCGAGTTGTAGGAGACAATTGAATATTTCATAAAAGGGAAAATATTTAATCGGTTAATTCTGAGGCACATTTTACAAAGATATCTAGAACATGCTTCATTTTAAAGAGTCAGAAGATTGTGTTCAATGTCACTCCTCAACAAGTTCCACAAATAGTTAATGACGTAAACTAGGGTCACAGGAGACACTTCTATTATATTGTGAGAACCAACCTCACTTAGAACCCAGACGACCAAATTTCAAGTGCCAAAGTTAAAGGAGAATATATATTATAAACTCGCTTCTATATCATATATGACGAGAGATTGCAACTCTTCAAATGTTGGAATGATATCAAAGCAAGTCAAGGGGGATTCAATAACTTTGATTGTACCTCTGTTTCTTTCTGAATGGTAATAAGAGAATTAACAAGAGATTTTGCATTTGGCCTCTCACGTGCTTCATACTGTAAACAACGGGTGGCTAGCCGCACTAGCTCGGTTCCATCATCATTAGAAAAATCACCCTCCAAACAAGAATCCATCAACATCGATAAATTCTTCACCCGGATCAGATCAAGTGCCTACAGGAAGGTAAGATAAAAGCTTACAATTAGGTACTTAGATAATAGAGTCAATAACGTCCACTGATAAGAGATGACATGATTTTCAAGATAAAGAGTCCAACGATACTTCAAAACTTACATGGCTTGGAGGTATATGTTTTCCACTCAAAAGATCTAGCAACATTGTTCCAAAGCTGTAAACTACACTTTCAGATGTCACTCTTCCTGCCAATCATAGAACTCTTGTCTCAGCTTTTGCAATAGTTGAATTAAGGAAGGAAAGCATAATATGGTACTAAAGTAAACTGCTGACATCAAGAAATATATAAATTAACAAAACAGCGCCTCTCAAAGCTAGTTTTTTTGCAGCAAACGACTAAAAGACACCAGGAGTCCACTATATAGAACACTAAACTGAGTAAATAATAGCTAAGAAAAACAGATGTTTGACCTGTTCTCATGTACTCTGGAGGTGTGAATGCCAAGTTTGTACTATAACTTTTTCCATCTCTACTGTTCTTCATCAGGCCAAAGCAAGATAGTCTAGGATTACCATCCTGTAGAATACAAAACAAAATTACAAAGCCACACAAATAGCAACTCATTAAGGTTAACTAACATAAGGGTAAAACTAATTTTACCTGATCAAACAAGATTCTGTAAGCATTAAGATCATGATATATTGCTCGACCCTTACTGCTGCAGTATTCCATAGCTTGAGCTAAGTAAAAAGCCACCCTCAACCTCATTGCCCACTTCATAGGTTGGCTGTCCCCTATTGCATTTCAGAGTAAATCAAATACCAGTGTTTACCCTCAACTCATGAACTGATTCATTAGCCTTGTCAAGATATACTACAATTAAGGATGCAGTCACCAAAACAGCACATCACAGTCAATCTACCCTTAGAGAACACAATTTAAGTCCATCCTATCCCTTAGACTGCTAAATCATGAAATTCTATAATCTAGACTGCATCAGCTTCAAGGAGATATAACATAATGCTCCTACACTCCACATTGCAGTTATAAAGATTCAAGTATCGTTTAATCAAAACTTCAGTGAAAACTCACAGTGAAATAAATGCTTTGCAAGGGTCTCATTTGGCATGAACTCAGCCACGAGCAACCTTTGTTCCCCTTCACAGCAACATCCAAGTAGATTCGCCAGTCTCTCACTTCTCAGATTCCCCACCGCTTTAGCCTCATCCTATGCATTACATAAACAGTGTCCAAAACAAAGCTCAACATACGAACTGGTAGAATAAATTGGATAGATCAAAAAGAAATCTTGTTGACAAAGCTTGTACTATGATAAATATGTGCTCTCACTCTCTTTCTCTGAGCATTTAGATAAGGTGGTCATACACAATTCAACATGATTGTATTCTCAGTGGCGGACTTAAAGTACAGTTTACAGGAACCAGTAGCTTTTTCTTAGACCTTGTAAGTGCATTAAGAAATTCACCAAACATCTATAAATATCTAACCATAAATTTTGCAGTAGGAACGCATAAATTTAAATCTTGGATCTGCCTCCGATTAAAGCTGGCTAAGGTTTAGCTTAAGTGTCTACTACC